TCAAAGCATACTGAGCATCTTTCTCTTTGACACCATGTCTGAAATCCCACGTGATCTGTCAAATACTAATGCATGAAAATCCTAACCTCAAAAAAATCACCCGTTATGTAAATACTTGTATGTGGTTGATATGAATTTTCTGCTATCAGCGCGGTGACCACAAGATCAACCTTTACTACATTTCCTCTCTCACTTGCCAATTGCCAGTTAGTTTTTGATCATTTTGTAGCGATTCGCGTGTTTTGTTGTTTAAAAATTCATTATCAAATTCAACGCGAGGGGATTTTCAAAGATTATACGACTGAGATTTGATAATTTACGACGCGCCGCCGCACAGTGGTTCAAAACTGGAATTTAGTAGCCTTAATTTTTCACTCAATTCCATAATTTATTTTTCAAATAAAAGCTAATAAAATTTGCAAGAGACCAGTTGTGCCGGTTTTTGGAATTTTTGTTTGTTTGTAATAATTTTTTTAGTGTAAAGTGCAGAAAAAGTTGCAATTTTGAAGAAACTCGATTCTCCCAACACAAAAAAATAAAAAAATAAAATGAATTGAAATGCCATAAAAAATAATTTATTTTGGTGACAACTTTTTATAAAACATAAACATTTTTTTTTGTGATTTTTTTTTTTTCGTTTCGGGGGCACTCTAAAATTGTTTTCAACTCGTTTTTACTATGTAACATGTATTAGCTGTAATAGAAGAATCGATTTTTTTCAAAATTTGCTACGTTTTTTTTGCACTTTGCACTAAAAATTAAATATAAGCAAACAAAAATTAAAAAATCGGGCTCAACTTGTCTCTTGCAAATTTTTGAAAACAAAACTAGTGAAATTGAGTGTAAAAATGAAGGCTCCAAGGAATTGTGAATACTAAATTCCTGTTTTCAGCCACTGTGCGCCGGCTTGCCGCATTTCTACGAAGATTATTCGGCGTTTAACAAAAATATCAATGGCTTCAGTGGAAATAGGCAAACAAAAAAAAAAAGTCTAATAATCATTGGGTTTCAGTTGACTGTGAGCTGAGGTTAAGTAAAGTAAAAGCAAAAGATGAATAAAAACTATTGTGTATCTGTTTAAATTACTTGACACAAGTAATATTCGCGTCTACTCAAATAAAAATACTATAAACTTACCTACGATGTATTCTCACGCCACTCCCTTTTTTGCTGAATCTACAAGCTAAATATGTATATTGTGGTTTAAATATAAGTAAACAAATTATGTGTAGTAAACAAAAAATAAAACATTAATGTACATACACATGTACGTATGTATGAATGTATGTATGTAACAGTAGGAATAAGTACGGGGAATTAACAAGTGCAATATTTTTAGCGATAAAGTGTGTATGCAAATATATGCAAAACACGAACACACACAGACACATTTTTTTATATGCATACATACATACATACATACATACATATTTATGCATCTTTATATATTTGATACAGCAGCATTATTTACGATTTTAATTCGCATACAGCAGCCGTAATTAAATTAACAGCAGCAGTAAACTAAACAAGTGCCCCTGAACGCATATAAATGGATTGCGCAAAAAACGAAAAAGTAATAGTCATATTAAAAAAAAAAAAATAAAAAAGTAATAAATTATATATTGTGTATACATTCTACATTATCAGTGTTTGTCAAAAGTTGAAACGTCAATAAATTTCTCGAAGCAGTGGAAATTCGCTATTATTCAACAAGTGCTAATCAAATTTGCTACAAATAGGATTCAACAGAATTCCCATTTGGAAGTTGGTGGCGAACATACATACATATGTATTAAAACGAAAATGCTGTGCATAACTAAATAAGTGATGGTGAGTTTTTTACGCTTTTGTTATTATACAGATATATATATGTATATGTGTAAATAAGTATCTAGTATTAACTTTTAAGTTATTTAGGGCCGTTTTCACCATCTCTGGTTAACACTAATCTCCAGTTAAACTTTTTTACCTATATTACCAACCCAATGTTAAATGAAACGAGTCAAGTTGTCGGTAACGATGTTTAACTGGGGATTAGTGTTAACCAGAGATGGTGAAAATGTCCCTTAGAAGGCTTGTGCTGCTTACAAAATAATATGTGCCTATGAATGTATATGTATATCCAATAAGACCATAGTAAATATCCGCTTCTGATCATCAACAGCTATTTTATTAGCTTCCCAATAATGGGAACCTACAAAATTGTAGCATAAAAATCGACTGCAGAGGAGGCACGGACTTGGTAAGTGGTTCAAAACTCTTCAAAGGGATGATGCATGTCTATCCTTCTATCGCAAACAGCCCTAAATACATACGGGACGCGAAACAGTATAACATGTCTAAATCAAAGGAAAATTCGTTGCATCGATTATGTATTTACTAATACGGCTGATCTCAATGCCCCAGAGCTCCTCGGGGCTATTTAGAAAGTGAGAGCTAAAGTACTTCAAACTTAGCCTCGCAAATGCTGGGAACCTAAGAAGGTAGTGTTGAGGTGATTCTACCTCGTCCTCTTCCAGGCAACTGCGACATAAGGGGTCCGGTAGAAATTTCAGCCTTACTGCGTGAATACCGATAGGACAGTGATCCGTTAAAACCCCCACCAGAAGTTAGAGCTGTGGCTTTGTTAGTGTGGGGAGCGCCCTCGACCGCCCCTGGTCCACCCTCGGCCAAAAGGAGCCTGCGATCGCGCATGTCGTGGTATTCGCCCAGCGTTCGCTGAGCTGACATGAGGCCCATCTATCCAAGAGTGTACCGCAAGTAATCAAGGGCACCCCCAGCCGGTTTTTATCTGGTGATACCGTTTCACGGTTGGCTATCAGAATATACGCTCTCTTCCCTGACTGTATGAGGCTCCTTAGCAGTGAATCTACCGCCTCCTTGATAGCAGCTACTTCCGCCTGGAATACACTGCAGAAATCCGGGAGCCAGAACTTAGTGCTGATGGAGAGCTCTCGACAGAAGACCCCTCCACCAACCCTGCCGGCAAGAGTCGATCTCTCCGTAAAGAAGTTCACCGCAACCTTCCTCCAGAAGTCCCGCCCGGCCCACTCATCCCTTGAGGGAAAGTGAACAGGGAAGAAGCCCCTAGGAGCCGTATCAGTGGTGCAGTAATCCGTACGATCCGTCATGAAATCGAAGCCCCCTAGAACTCCAGAATGTCCAGTCCCTAAGTTCGTCAACCAATCGGTTTCCCTGAGTCTAATAGCCGTTCCCGCCACGACAATTCCGCCTGCAACGTCGACAGGCGATACGTTTAACAGTGCCCCAATAATATCAATTAACACAGCCCGTTGTACGCGTTCCAGCTGCTTAGCTAGTGTCCAGTGAGTTCCACCAGACTAGGGCACTATAAAACATATGTAATTGGCTTGACAACGGTCTCGTAGAGCCAGTAGACAACTTTAGGGGAGATACCCCATCTCTTATCAATATCTCCCCTACTGCAATACAAGGCCACTGATGCCTTTCTTGCCCTTTTCTCGATGTTTGACCCTGTCAGACAGCTGTAAGTGCAGACCTCCAATCGAGGGAATCACAGTGGCGGGGATTTTATATTTCCTTGTGAATAATATCAGTTCTGTCTTACTGGGATTGCCAGCGAGGTCACTTCTGAGTCAGTTCATACAGCGTGTTCAGGTATTTAACCAGAGTCCAACACCGTCTGCATAGGCCGACAGCCGTGCTTTTTCAGCTCCACTAGTAGCTCGTTCACCACGACGACCCAGAGAAGGGGTGAGGGAACCCCTCCCTGCGGGGTGCCCCTGCTCACCATACGAAGCAAGCAGGCGCTGCCCCAGACGGCCATGACAGTTCTGTCACGCAGATGAGCCTAATGAGACAGACCTCAACCCCAAGCTTATCTAGCGACTTAACTATTGCGTCCGGCAGCACATTATTAAAAGCCCCGTCGATATCGAGGAAGGCTCCTACGACAAAGTCCTTGTGAGTGAAGGCTTCCTCTATACACCTCACAATTGTATGCAGAGCAGTATCTACCGACCTTCCTTTACAGTAAGCATGCCGAGCTCTACACAGGCGATCTCGAGAAATCATGCTCCTTATGTGCATGTCAGTCAGCCTCTCCAACGTTTTCAGCAGAAACGATGAGAGACTGATCGGCCTGAAGTCCTTGGGGGCAACATGATAGCTCCTTCCGGCCTTCGGGATGAACACAACCTTGACGACCCTCCCCTCCAATCCCCTGGGAATGCACCCGCGTTAGAGCAGCCCGCGTAGATTGGGGACAGCCAACGGCACGACACCTGCGCCGCCTTTTGCAGCTGCGCAGGTATGATGCCGGTATGATGACGCCAGGTGGCGCTCATCCAGGAGGTCAGAAAAATCAGCGCAGTCTCCTTAGGGGAGGGATTGGAAGGAAAGTGAGTATCCAGGAGCAATCTGAGCGACTCCTCGCTACTCATAGTCCAATGTCCTGCTTCATCCCTCAAGTAACCCAGCGGAGCAGGACTCCTAACGAGAATACGTCTAAATCTAGATCATTCATGACACCCTTCAACGTTTTCGCAGAAAGACCTCCATGAAACCTTTTTTGCCTTTCTTATTTCTTATCTCGTACTTGTAGATTCCTAGTCCAACCTTATAGAGTTCCCAATCAGAAGACAACCTTCCTCCTACGGGCCCTATTGGAAAGTCGTCTGCTCGACGCCCTTAACTCAGAGAGCTCCGCAGTCCACCTAAGGGGTTTCCCTCTGCCTTTCTGAAATCTCAGCGGACATGCGCTTTCAAGAGCATCCCTGCACACTGAGCTGAAAACTTAAACAAGCTCCTCCAGCGAGTCTACCGTCTACACAGAATTTGGTTCTGGCGCATCAGGGAGTACTCCACGAAGGTTCCTGCTATACAGATTCCAGTTGGTGCTCCACAGGCTCCTGAAGAGCTTGCCAGGAGGACGCTTTTCGTCCAAAGATAATTGAATATACCTATGATCCGAAAAAGAGTGTTCACTCAGAACCCTCCGATCCGATGTCAAAGGTGCTGTCTCAGTGTGAGGTCAAGAACCTCCTCCTTGGCAGCAGTTAAAAACGTAAGGGAATTCCCCTTGTTACAGATATGTAAGTTTCCACTAAGAATAAACTCAAAAAGTGATTTACCTCGCAAATTAGTATCCGAGCTGCCCCAGTCTGAGTGCCTCGAGTTCGCATCGGACCCCAAGATCACGCCAGCTTTCCCTCGCTTGGCTTCCGCTAGAGCGCTCCTCAGCATCATTGGAGGTGACTCTGCCTTGTCATCGTACGGCATGTAAGCGGATATTAGCCAGAGTTCTCCAACCTCTCGTCTAGTGGACCCTATGTAACTTATCTTCTTCTTCTTTTTTGGCGCTGTAACCGCCTAAGCGATTTTGG